TTGTAGATACATCTCTCATTGATAACATCTACTATGCTTCTATTCTGAAATGTTCATGTGTGAATATGCATTTGCGGACATGCACAGTTGCCATGTAGAGCCAACTGTTGGAAATGTGTTTTTGTCTTTACTTTGTTTTTTTTAATAAATAACATGTCATGCACACACATTGTGAAGAGCATGAAATGGTTTTCATTATTTTGATATATCATTTTATCATTGACCATATAGTTTCACTAGTACTAGTGCTCTACTAGTTATGCTATCTAGTGGTCCAAAATTACGGGTCATTTCTCTTAAATTAACTTGTTTTAGAACTACTCGTGTCAATAAAGTGCCACCCTAAAAGAGATTTATGTGACAAGCCAAACAGTGGCTCAACTTGAAATGCGTGTTCTCATGGCTTCCTTGGTTAATGTTTGTGTGAGTTGTAGGTGACAAAATGGACAAGAGTTGGATGACGATAAATAATCGGTTGATAAGTAAAGAGTATCAACAAGGGGTGAAGTCATTCCTTGATTTTGCTACGGCAAATTTAGGCGTAGAGGATGAAATTAGGTGTCCGTGTGTCGATTGCATTAATGGCACAAAAATAAGCAGACAAGTTGTGTGGATGCACTTGATCCAAAAGGCATGGCATCTTCGTATCTAACTTGGGTGCATCACGGGAACATGTTCCCGTGTCTCGTCCTAGTGTATCAAATGACCAATATGGAGGTAGTGGCGAATGTATGACAGATATCGATGACCCGCCCATTGATGAATTGCCTACTATGTTGGAAGAAATTTATGTGAGTGGTCTTATGGTGATCATACCGACGAGGAACCTAATGGTTTGGAGAGGAGGATTGCATAAGTTCACTAGGTTATTCGAAGATGCACAACGCAAAGTTCACCCAACATGTGAAAAGTTTTCTGTTTTATCATTCGTCATTAAGATGCTTCATGTGAAGGTGTACAACAAATGGAGCAACAAGTCATTCGATATGGTTATGCAGGTATTTAAGGACATTCTACCAGAAATGTGATCCAACAGTTCCATGGACACTCTATGATGCTAAGAAGTTCTTACGTGACTTGGGTTTGGGATATGAAACAATCCATTCGTGCAAGATGATT